ACTGATGGCTTAGGGCTGCTCCCTGGGTATCCTTAGCACTCGCCAGCTGTGAGCCGGCTTCTGGCTAAGCAGTGCTCCCCCTGTGGGAGTGTACTGACCACCAGGGTGCAGTTCCTGCGTTGAACAGGATTGGGCCAAAACAGGCTCTTGGATTATAAGAGGGCGCAGGCCAGGCTGAAGGGGGGTGGGGGTGGGGGGTGGGGACGATGACCATGGGAGGGCTCCAGGGCATGTTCGGCCCGTCTGGCTCAGTCCCAACCAGCTGGACCCCAGCAGCAAACTAACCTACCTGTCAGACTGTCTTCCCCCTGGTGGTCAGTGCATGTCATAGCAAGCAGTTGAGCTGCCTTAGCATATCATTAGCATATTATGCTTTGATTGGTTGAACAGACGACCAGACACTTAGCATATTAGGCTTTTATTATATGGGATTATTGACTACTAGAGACCCAGTGCACAGATTCATGCACCAGTGGGGTCCCTTGGCCTGGCCTGCGGGGACCAGGCCAAAACTGGCCTGGTGCATGGATTTGACCAGGGCATGTCTGGGCCTATCTCACTCAGTCCTGATCAGCCCATCTCGCCCAGTCCCCATCGGCCTGACACCAGCAGCAAGCTAATCTACTGGTCGGAGAATTTGCCCCCTGGTGGTCAATGCACATCATAGCGACTAGTCGAACGAATGGTCAGACACATTGCATATTAGACTTTTATTATATAGGATTAATCTTATCTGTTACTTTTGTTTCTAGTATTGCTGCATATTTAACTCACTTTTTCCTCTATGTAATATTGGCTAACAATTTCCTTTCAGCATAAACATATCATCTTCTACATTTTTGTTGATGAAACAGCTGTTCAGAAGAGAGCTTTTAAATTATTTTCCAGGTGATTGTGCTTTTATTTTCTAGTTTTAGTACCTTGTGGTCAAAGAATAGAAACTGTGCAGCCTCTGCCCTTTAAAATGCACTACAGGGGCTTACCCGGTTCCAAGAATTGCCTTCAGCTTTTATACTCCTCAGATGCTGATGGATGTTCGGCATATGGGCACCAAATGCAGACCCACTTCATTCTTCTGGGAAATAAACCCAACAAGGTCAAAGGATTTAGGCTTGGGATAGAAGGTAAGTGATTTCCTTACAATTTGTTTTTAGAACAGAGTTTGGAAAGAACAAGTTGAGAAGTTTTGTTTTGAATACTACTGCAAATATTCTCCCATCCAAATATAACCAGGTCCGACTCTCTTAGTTTCCCAGATCAGATGAGATTGGGCATATTCAGGGTGGTATGGCTGTAGACTGCTGCAAATATTCTAAATCAGCTGGGTCCTCTATGCTGCCTTTGTCATTCAATATTGCCATCTGATAGATTTGTAAACTATTCCACATGAGAAAAAGCTGTATTTTCTTTTTGCCTTATTTTTCCCATTTTTAGGGTAACCTCTCCTATTTGCTTTGTGTTTTTTTTTTAATATATTTTATTGATTTTTTACAGAGAGGAAGGGAGAGAGATAGAAACATCGATGAGAGAGAATCATCGATCAGCTGCCTCCGGCACATCTCCCACGGGGGATATGCCCGCAACCCAGGTACATGCCCTTGACCAGAATCGAACCTGGGACCCTTCAGTCCGCAGGCCGACGCTCTATCCACTGAGCCAAACCGGTTTCGGCTGCTTTGTGTTTGATAGTCCACAGAACATCTGTTAAGGTCCCACCATCATCTCTACATGATTTTAAAAGCCACTGTTATTTCTGCATTTTAATCCTATATTATCCTAGATATATATTGTTAGGGCTTGTTGTCGTCACTACTGTTTACAATTTTATATTTTTGATTTTAGAGGGGCGGGGGGGGGGGGGGACATCAATTTACTGTTTTGTTGTTCCACTTATGCGTTCATTGGTTGATACTGCATGTGCCCTGACCGAGGATCAAACCCACAACCTTGGCAGATACTCTAACCAACTGAGCTACCCAGCCAGGGCCCTGATTGTAATTTTATTAGAGATTGTGCATATACTTTCTCAAATCATATTCTGAGATACCTTTTATGGTATGATATAATTTGATTAAAGATCTCTTGGAAGAAGCAAATCATTATATTTTGTTTTTAGAATTTAAACAGTTTTGATCTAAGTGTTTTCTTTTGTCAAAGTACTTCATTTGCTTTTTCAAAGATTCAGACAGGAGACAGTGTTATTAATTTTTATTATTAATCATATTAACAGATTTCAAGATTCTTAAACTTACATTTAATTTGCAAAGTAAAAAAATAAGTTTTAGTTTTTCTTCACAAAAACACATTGCATCCCCCTCCATAAAGAAACTGCCATTCCTTCTTGGAACTTCACTGATTTCAATACTCACCGACTGGCCTTTCTTTCCTTTTATTCTTAATTTTGATTCATTATGGTAGTGTAGTGATTATATTCAAGTAACTCCTTTCTATAGAGCAAATGAGCAGTGCGTTGCATATCACAGAACGTTTGTTACTTTCACGTTTGGATGAGTAGAGAAATCCTGACTAAACAATGCTGTGGACACTGCTCCATTCCAGCCCACATCCAATGTGAAGAGGATCTTCTGACATGAGCCTTTTTATAGACTGAGGTTTCTTCTGTTAAAACTATTTACTGTTTAATTTTTTGCTGTCTTGTTTGGAAACATCTATTATTCAAAGGAAAATCTTTATAATCAGCCTTTTAAACCTGTACCTTTCCTCTTAAACTCTATTCATCTGCGGGTGCTGCTTAACTTTTACTGTGGCATTTCTGGTTTATTGTAATTTAAGCCGCAGAATCCCTTAAAGGGAAGATTGTTAAGGACAATATACAACACTGACAAAGGTAGCTCAGATCTGGTTCCTGAAAGCCCTTCTTCCTTAAATGCCTCAGGACACTGCTCTTTTCTCACTGCAGAAGTCTGTCCCACCTTGTGTTGATTTTGCTTAACTCATTAGGAAATAAAAACATTAACTGAAGTACTATAAGATAAATACAACAAAAACGCATAAACCACAAAAAGTACAGCTCAGTTATTATCACCATGCTGGTCAGAGAGATTACTAACACACCACATGCCCCTTTTGTGATCTCCCCCTACTCCATTGGGCCTAAAGGTATATTTTCTTCTGTTGGCTGTTTTTCTTTCTTTCTTTTCGGTCAACATCACATTTATGAGATTCATCCAAATTGTTATATGTAGCATGAGTTAACTCATTTCCTTGTTATATAGATATTTGCAATATCTCGGATGTATTCTGTTGATGGACACCAAGACTGTTTTCACTCTGAGGCTATTATGAGTAATGCTAAGAACATTCTTGTATATATTTTTTGGGTATACATATGTTCTTATCTCTGTTGATATATGCTTAGAAGTGAAATCACTAAGTTGAGAGTAGATATGTTTCAATGTTAGCAGATATTTGTCAAACATTCCCAAAGTGGTTGAGACTTCTACCAGTAGTTAATGAGAGTTCCTGTTGTTCCACACTTTCACCAACTCTTGGTATTGTCAACACTTTAATGTTTGCTGTTCTTACCAGTGTAAGGGTATCTTACTGTAGTTGTAATGTGCATTTTCTTGATGACCAATATGATTAAAGATTTAAAAAAGACTCTAAAACTTACATTAACTGCTAAAGTAACAAAGAGGTTTTAATTTCTTTATAAAAAAATAAAGAATTTACCCAATCCTCCCTTCGAGCCCCTCCCCTGTGATTCCTTCTTGGCTTTCTTTGAGAAGTGCTGATCAAATCTCTTGTCCGTTTAGTTACTCATTTCTCTATGAAAATTGATTTAGCTGGGCCAACTACAGAATTGGCAGACTCTGAGGAATCCTTTTAGCTCTTTAGCAGTCCACTCAAGTACTGATGTATTACTTAGCAGATGGTCAGAAATGTTAAGACTCATTTTATTCCTCCAGGAAACCCAAAGAAGTCCTTCAGATCTAGGCTTAGGCTAGGAGTGTAAGGAATTTCCTGATAATAAGAACAAAGTTCTTAGAATAGTGGCTGAAAAAAAAACACTTAACATTTTTCAAAAAAAATTCTGTTTTTAGTATCCTAAATCTGCCAAGGGGCAGAACTAAGATCTGTTCAGGTCACTTGTTCTGCCTTTGCCATTCAGCATTATTATTCTGGTCAGAGGTGGGATCTCTTTTATGACCCCTCTGCCCAGGTTAACGCCAACTGTGGTTCTCTTGGTTAAGGAAAATCTCCAAGACAGGGCAGCTTCAGCACCACAGTTAAGAAATGCAGAATGAAGCCTCTTCTGATGGGACTCTCAATGACTGTCTCAGGAGTCAGATGAAAAGCAAGTTTTACTGACAAGTTCTTTCAATGTGAAATTTGACTCAGCCATTAAAAAGAAAAAAATCTACCCTTTACTGCTTTATTTAGTAAAAATTCCTTCTAGTTTCCAGTATTCTTACCTAAGTTCCTATGAATGATTTTTTTCATATTTGAATGTTTTCACGAGTATTTTTACAGAAAATTGGGAAAGGAGGATTGCAGATGTTGTATTTACACTGCCTTTATTATCTCTTTTACTTTCCAAAAAGGTAATGTTGGTATTATATATAAAACCTGCTCTTGGAGAAACTGAAGGCTAATCTTATCAACAAGATATAGAAGACATGACACTTTCCTATATTATAAGTAACTGAAGTCATTAAGTAGAAACTGGGTGTTCCAGGGACATTGCTAATCTTTTGGGATGATATAAAGGAGATGTACTTCATCTTCTTTGTTGTTGCTGTTGTCAAATTACTTTTAGTTACTGCAAGGAAATAAGACTGGGCTGGGTTGAAGATGGGACAACACTACAGTGCCTACAAATCACAGACTTAGAGTTAAAGTGGTAGGAAATAAACCCTGTTAAGAGTTTCTAGTGAAAGGATTGAGACGAGATGGTTCCTTGGTAAGAATTTGTGATGATAAAGCAAAGATGGATGCTATCCTTCCAAGTATACTCTTAAAAATAAATTTTTTTTTTGACATTGTTTGTCCAATATTGACATTGCCAAAGCACGTCAGCCAGTCCTGGTGCTCTCGACAACTACAGCAGATTCTTCCTAAGTCAATCCTATTGTGATCTCCTTCTCTACCTTCTGCCAAATGTCCCGATGACACATTTCCTAAGTTACTGATATACTAATAAGAGGGAGAAAGTCTTTTGTGTCAATGGAGCAATAATATAAGGATGCAAAAAGTATCTTCAGAACCCAATAAAAATTAAATTATGTATTTTCATAGACCTTCCAGTAAATTAGATGACTTTAAAGTAGATGACTTTAATTCTTCTTTTAGCATTAAAAAACAAACAAAAAAATATCAGAACAAACAAAATCCATAAGAATTCTGTGCTAAAGAAGGCTGTGACCTATGTATTATTAACTCTAGAAAATGATAATAGTGTATGAGTAAGAAAATCAGTAGCAACATCCTTTCATCATTTACCTCCAAAATCAGAAATGGAAATAGAGGCAGGAAAATTCAGAGTGTAGATTCATAAGAGTATCTCTGAGTAAGCACTTTGGTTATCCTACTGTGCTCAATATTTTTCCCAGTTTCTGTGGAAAACAGTACTTCCTTTTCAGTTTCTGATTTTTGTATCTCAAATACAAATATTTTTCCTAAGATAGTCTCTAAAATAGCGGCTTCCTTCCACCACCTTCCACCACTTCTGCAGCATTATGGTCAGAAAGGCAGTCTCTAGGCTGCCACAGTAGTCGCGGCCTTGGTCACTTGGCACGTTAGCTACTCTCATGGACCTTGATGTCCAGATATTGGCTGCAGTTCATGTATAACAGTCACAGGACTTCCTGTTCCTGTAATAATCACACAAATGGACTTTCAAAGTGCCTGGTAACTTTCTCAAAGTAGAGTGAAACCTGCATATTCCCCTGAGGACAAGTCATTTTTATCTTAAAGTCAAAGCATGGTCATTGTAATGAATGAACTGCCAACTTCATATTTTAACTAAGTATTTCTATCTGATCACCTAGCAGTACCATACCTTCAGTTCCCAGGATCCATGTGTTCTTGAGTTACTGTTTCTAGAAAAGGAAATAATGCAATCCATTAATTAAAATTCAGATATTAAAATGGAACTTATCTAATAAGGATGAACTTTGTTTTCTCTTTAGACCTATATATTTTCTCTTTACTGAAATCATACATAAAAATAATTGCTATGATTCTTTAATACAGCTTATCATCCATATATGGATAGAAATAAAACTAGCAATCAGTTATAGCTGCGTAAAAAGGATATATATGCATTTTATTTATTCTTGCTTTCATTAATTTTTAGTTTTATACACTTATAAAGAAGTTACTAAAAGTTAAAGTGCATCTATAACCAACAGGTTTTTGGGTGTACCAAAAAAACATTAATTTTATAAGAGGATTCACTTTAATTGCAAGAATACCCACATACATATACATGTATTTCTGTACCCTTGTGATTATTCTATTTCAGTTTTTTAGACACTGATAATAATTATATCACATCATGCTCCTTTGTCATTTAAAAAGAATGACATATGCTTATGTACTTCTTTAGAGCCAAAATCTTTGGTAATTTATTAACACAATGCAATTCAGAATAAGTGTAAATAAAAAATGAAATTAGGTAGAAGTTTTGAATGGTATAAAGCAAATAGTAACCATCCTTTACAAATACCAAATGACACTGCTAACAAGAAAAAGCTGGCCTGATATTTTGCTATTTGTGAGACTGACTGTGTTTTTGAATTTCTCATTGCAATTCATATTTACTGATATTAAATTTAGGGGAAACAGATACTTAATTCCAAAAAATGCCAAAGGTAAAAAGACTTGGAAGCTTCTCAATGTCTTACTGTTACAATGAGTCTAACCTAAGTTCCAATATGTGGAATCCCTTTAGGCCAGCATACTGCAAAGTCATGCCATTGACCCCACCAGAATTACCTAGGGAGCTTGATGAAAAACGCACCTCAAACCTGCAGAATCAGTGTACCTGTGTTTTAAACAAACACCTGAGATGACCCTTGTGGACATCAAAGTTTAAGAACCACTGCACTTCAGTTTTGGAGTGGCAATGTTTATCACAACTGGTATAAATCTCTATTTTCTTTTGGTTAATTAATGGTTAGTAGGTTCCCAATGAAAAAAGAGCGAAGATCAGAGAAAGCTAAAAATTTAGAGTAATAATTTCCTTAGTATTTTGCACTAACCTTTTTTCTGGAGTGGGAAAAAGTTTAAAAAATGAACTTGTAAACAAGACCGCACCATACCATATGAATAAAAACTATATGTTCTAGAAGAATCTTTCCTAAAATATATATTTCTTGGAATACCAGTGCCTTGGAATAGTGTGCCTCTAAAAACACATTTCACAGTGCATAAAGCAAACTATGAAAGTGCAAACTATGGTTCTCTTTTGAAGATAACAATGATGGTGTTCAAGCACATACGAAAGGCTCTGAGAAGTTTTATGGTAAAATACTGGTGGAACATTTTCTCAATATGTTTGACTATGAAAATTTATTTCCTAAACAACACACTGACTTCTCTCAAGACACTAGTATTTACTTCAAGAAACATAGTTTGGGACATGATGTTCTAAAAGCAGCAAATTTGATAGCTGCTTCCGGCTTCTGTAAACTACCATAAAATACTCGACTTAATGAACTTGCAGGAGAGTTTGATCAGATTTATTATTTGAACTACATATTTAAAAGAAAAATTGCCTGACTGGTGTGGCTCAGTGGTTGAGCATGGACAAGAGTTTCAGGTTGAATTCCTGGTTAGGGCACATTGTAGGCTCGATCCCTAATAGGGGGGCATATGGGAGGTAGCTAATCAATGATTCTCTCACAACACTGTTCCCTCTCTCTCTCTCTCTCTCTCTCTCTCTCCCCCTCCCTCCCTCCCTCTCTGAAATCAGTAAAAACTGTATTTAAAAAAGAAAAATTACCGTTTTGTTTAGCTTTTTTTTCTATATTAAAGACTTACCTAATAAAAACCCTATGTTAACAATTTAGTAACTGACATATACAGAGCATCTAAATATTATATCCTTACTAGAGGTCTGGTGCACGAATTCGTGCACGAGTGGGGTCTGACTGGCCCATCCCTATCGGGGCCAATCAGGGCCGGGCCAGCAGGAGTGAGGAGCCATGGGAGGTTGGCCGCCGGCCCCACCCCTGCCCCCGATTGAGGCCAGGCAGATGGGGATGGGGGATCGCGGGAGGTTGGCTGGCCTGCCCAGCCGATTGGGCCGGTTGACCGGCCACAGTGTGCATCATAGCAACTGGTCATTCCAATCGTTCTGGTCATTTCAGTCACTTGGCTTTTATATATATAGATAGATATCCAAAGTGCATTTGAGAAGTAAATATTTAGCTAATGACATAAACACTAGATTATTAAATGCTATTTTAAATTCTAGAATTTCCTCATTTTAAGAAAAATGACTATTCTGGCTTTTAAAAATGAAGTTTTAGGGATCAACTGCAAGGAAAGCAGGAGGAAGGCTAAATGATTGAGAGGATTCAAATTAAATGCACACCAAAGCCAAAGACCCCACTGATTACTGAGACATGCAACTACTGGGAGAGAAAACTCAACAGAAAATTACATCATGAGAGCAAAGAAGTATTTTGTGGGCAGAGAGCTATTATACAAGTCTTTTTAGAATTTATACAAAAGACTCAAGGAAATAAACCTCATGGAAAACAAAACTATTTTCTGGAACTGGCTACCTGACTTTAAATGCAGGATGGAGAAATTGGGATTATTTAATCTGAATAGAAAATATGGAGGGTAAATGGTATATGGTAGTTAACCATAAAAAAGATTCTCAACGTTGGCTTAGTGAAAAACTTAAAAGATTAAGAAACAAAAATGATAGTCAAATTTTATGTTAAAAGTGGTCTCAGATAGGAAGTAATAAACTCCCTAAACACCATTTAGGTTAACCACCTGACAGACATGTTTGAGGGTGGGGATGGGTGGAATTCAAGCAACACTTAGTGGTAGAGCCAGATAACCTGTAGGGCACAATTTAATTCTAATATGTAAGAATGGAACTATGTATGTAGTGAATGAGTTTGGGATGACTAAATTGATGTGCTGGTAATTAATCCTCAACGCTCCTCACTTAGATTTTTCATTTATAAAGAGAACATTTTAAAATATGTCCTTTGACTCAGATACTTGGTTCAATTCTCATACAATAAGTCTTGCCTGGGAAGATAAGACTGAAAATTTTATCTATATTTACTAAAATTACTGATTCAAAAAAGAATTTTGATTTTTCAATGGATGTCCAAGCATGAAACACTCTATTATGCTCAGTGAAATCAATCTTTTACTAGTTTTAGTTTGAGGATATTAGAGGCATAATGAAGACGTAATTAAGTGATGCTTTAACAACTGTGTACTAATTATAATGTCTTTTTTTAAGGTGTCAAGTTCTTGACTTAGATATATCCTTTCTGATATATAGTATTCATGGCAAGAGCTGATAAAAATTTTTATTGGATTTTCAAAATACAAGCAGAGTAGGTTCCTAATTTTTAATTTTCTGAAATGACTATTCTTCCTATCACAGTCTGTTCTGAAAATTGCTTACATGTCATATTTTTGGGGTGGCCATTACATTTCTGTATTTGTAAAGGGAAAGTGTCCACCCTCCAACACCAGTGACATTTATTACAACTTACTATAAAAAAAAATTATCAACAATTTAATTTTTTTTCTTTATCACAATTTCTCTATGATCTTAAAAGATATTCACAAAATTACCAACAAATTTTGGGTTAACTATAGAAATACTGTATAAAAATATTTCTAATGATGTGTGTTTGGCTCTTGCCTTAGAGTAAATGTAAGTAGTCAATCTTCATGTGTAGACTGAGTAACAATTACCATATTTTATTGAATCTAAGATGCAACTTACTGAAAGAAGCATCTTTAAGTTCCACTACGAAAGAAAAAAAGGCTGTCAATTACACTATGATACACAATCAATAATTGAGACATTTCCAATTGCAGAAGTGGAAAAACGTGCATCTCAAAATCAATGAAATATGTCATTTAGTCATATTCTAAACACTATCTATTAAGTCTTTCATTCTTAACTTTCACATAAATAAGGCATGATTTAGTTAAGCAAAGAAAACTTTATTTCTACTACACATAACAACATATTGCTCTAAGAAACAACTACTATATTAGTTTTAGCATTAACGTGTGGATTAAGAAACACATGTCAACAATCCCTGCTCCCCAGACAAAACAATGTTGTGCACAGACTATCAAACATGAAAAAAAAGCTGTCAACTGTCCACAGGGAGTGCGTCCAGTCACATTTTCAGTCAGTCAGCTGAGGATTATGTCATTATTTAGTCTTTGTTCTGTAGAAAGAACACAACACAAGTATGAAAATCATAACCTGGAAGGAAACAGCTGTTGTATATAGTATTCCTAAAATGTTAGGAATTGTTCCTTTATTTCAGTATAACCAATGTTATCTGCTTACTTATTCACAGATGCCCCCAAATAAGCAAAACCAAAGTTACCTGGAAGGATGATGCAAGCACATACTGAATTTCTGGAGGGAAAATGCTGTAAATTAATACAAAATCAGAATGCTATGAAATACTAGAATTTCTCTTTTCCTCAAATAGAGGCATATTTTGTATATCACCTTCATCTCAAAACATCAGTCAACTACTCTCAAAGTTATATTCTTAGACCAGTTTCTTCTCTTATTTCCTAGGTGTGGCTCACTGAAACTTGGGCTTATTCCTCAGAGATGAAAGGAACTAGCCTTCTTGAGTGGTGTCATGTCCTCGTGAATTTCATTAATCTGACCCTCCTCATCTTTGCTCTAAATATGTATAATAAATAGTTCAATAAGGGAAAAAGGTAGATGTATATTTCACGACTAGTCATGCTGAAAAATAGGCACTTCCTCAAATGTAGGGAATTGGATGAATGTACATCACTATTACAGGGTATTATAAAGTTCTGTACCAGAGAACCTCAAGGTAGTTTTGTATCATTAAACTTTTAGTTTATGATCATTTGGAGACGATATCTCAAAGGTTTCACTTAAGTCACCAATATAAGAGTTTTACAAAATTTTTAAAAACATTTTATATAATTAACATTGTTCTTTCAATAACACCATGAAAAAAAGCTTCAGAAAGGTAAAGAGATCTGCTCAATCATAGTCAGTTAAGTGTCAGTTGGAATTCAAACTCCGCGCTTCTCATTTTAAGTCTAATATTCTCCATATTGTATCATAACCATTAGGAAAGATTCAACTACAAGATTAATTTAAATATTTTTCTGATACTAAGAAGTTTTTAAAGAAAAAAATTCTTTGAATAAAAAAACTGTTACTTATATGTTGAAATATTCACAGACATGAATAAATACACTTTCATGCTATTTTAGAAGATAGCTTGTCTAAACAAGTCAGTTCTTAACATTTTATTCGTAAACACAAATAACTGCTTTGTTTTAAAAAAGAATTGCTAATTCTTTTTCACTGGCAATTTAGAATTTCTACATTGTATGGAGTAATGGGTGTGGTTTTGTAATCAAATAAAACATTTGAAAACGTTTCTAAATTAGGATTACTCACAATGGGCTCAATGAACACTTCTTATTGTCCACCGCCTTCTAGGAAGGAGGAACTAACCACTTTACTTGCTCTATTAGGGAAGGGTCATCAGCAGGAAGGCTTGGGGCAATTCATCCTGATATTGATAATTCTCTTGATCAGAAAGAAAACCTCAAGTGAAAAATGTGCTTCCAAAGGGCTTGCCAACTGCTACCATTTGACTAGCAGTGGACTAGGGAAGCTAGTATGTGTGAGAAGAGAAAACGCTCATTCCTCCTCCTGAAACTCAGAATTCATTTATAGAATAAAAATGTGAAATAGTTGAACATTTCTAAATTTACAAGAATGTTTCCCCAACCCATGAAGATATAAATTGACTGTTACAGAAAACAAAAATTTAAGTTCGATTTCTGGAAACTAATAAAAGGAATTTATATGGCTGCATGTATCAATATTTATGATAAACAAAAGGGTTTTTGGTAAATTGTCAGGATTATTTTTTAACGTATATATGCACAAAAGAATATTTTTCTGAATGTGTAGTTTTAAAGCACAAGCTTATATATATAAGTCCAGGAAAACACCAACTTTAGGTTCAAAGTTCTATTATTTGATATTGTGCTTAGGCATTTTATTAATGAGAACTGAAAACATTCTTTATAAAGACTTATAAATTACTTCATTTCATAATGCAAGTCATTAAGTCTTCAAGTTAAAAATCTTTATAAGTACTTCAACTATAATGTTTATGAAAGCATATAGTAAAAAAGTTCAACGCTTAATATCTATGACATTCACAAACCAAAAAGTAATTAATTTTCCAATTTGAAATGATTTTATTTTATAGAAGGGCAAAAACATTCTTCCAGCAAACATTGAAACCATTTAAGTTTTAAAAAGTTCAAGTTAAAAAAAAATTTTTATAAAATTAATCTGAACTGGTTTTATCAGCAAAGTTGTAAGCCACAGTGCTTTCAACTGACAACTTCTAAAAAGAAATTCCTAAAGTACATATTATACATATTCCTCTTACTACACTATTTAGCCAGTGTGTTTTAAAATTCAGATTTAAAAAGGCTTACCTCAAGAATCAGTAAGTTCTTTGTCGTTTATTAGATTCTTCACGTGGGGAATCTGCCAGCATAACTTTAAGTCTGACTCCATTCAGGATCTTTCCATGTAAAGTACTAATCGCATCATTAGCACTTATTCTATCTGCATACTTCGCATACCCCACATTTTTTCCTGACACAAGGTAAACTTCGATCAGGTTACCAAAACGACTGAAACAAAGTAAAAAAAAAAAAAAAAAAATCAACTGACGTTACTAAATACTGCTGCTCAGGTCTAAAAGTTGGGGTCCATTCTGGACTCCCTTATCACCTCTTTCCCCATATCGTATCTCCTATTCAATCTCACTTCTTAAATATTTCTCTGTCAGTTTCTCTTCATTCTCACTCAGGTTTTATTTTTCATGAAGACCATCATTACCTTTTCCTTAGGTTACTCTAATATCTACTTTACTAGTTTCCCTGTCCCTCTCCAATCCATTCCCACCCTGTCTTCTGAGTGATCTTTCTGAAACATAAATATCATTTCCTCCCTAAAAGTCCCTTCAGCAGCTCCTCATTGCCTCCAGAGTAAGACAAACTCCTTAAGATACTTTGTGAGCCTTTCTTGACAGTTTCTTGTCCTCTCCAGCTTTATCTCCCCTCAGTCTCAAATTCCATATTCTAATAACCTCTTTCACATTCTCTCTGGCAGCAATAACCACCCACAGTCCCAGCTTTCTTTCTGGGTTAAATTATTTTTATCCTTCAGGTTTCCACTATACCTTACTTCTTTCAGGGAGTCTTCTAAGTTCTAGCCCGTCCACTCTTTTCATAGCACTAATCTTACCAGGTTGAAATTCCCTATTTACTTATATGTCTCCTAAATAAGGTAATCTCTAAGACAATAACTATTTTATCTTGTTTACCTATTATAATGTTTTGTTTATATAATGTCTCTAGCATTTAACATAGTGCCTGCCTGGACCAGAGGACAGGTTCAAGAAATAAACTAAATGAGTCAGCTAAAGGAGAGTCAAAATACTTGAGTTTGAACCACATACCTGACATTTTGTGCAGCTCTTTGGTAAGTTTCCTATCTATCTTTTTAATTCACTAACATTGTTGTAAGGCACATGGGAAAAAGAAAAAGTTAAGGTAGGAGTTATATTAAAAACAGAAATAAACAAGAGCCTTCCCCTTTTTACACTAACTATATGTTCTTCCATACAATCAAGTAATTGTTTACTCAATGAAGTTTTTATAAAATCCTTAAGGATACAACAGAGTATGAACAAAACAGAAGATACTTAGTAAACTTTGTTCACTTAAATTACAACTACAATGAGAAGGCTATGTGGAAAGAATTCTAGAGGACAGGTGTATGCAGACGTATCTTATATGAACAGATGACTTGTCCATTCTACGTATGCTTTTCAAAACAATCCTATGGGTTTATGCCTTAAAAAAAAATAACAGGAAATTAATTCTGTGTGGAAACATAGGATGTGTGAATGATAGATAAGGAAATGATCATATATTTTAAAAGGTGATATCAATAGTTTTTTAAAGCACAGAACAAATCATCTCTATCTAATAGGTACTGGATTTAAGAAGTTTCAAGATTGTGAGTGCTTAAAGGACTGGTTTAAACAAATTATATTATAAAATGTAACTTTGTAGAACTGATATCTTACCAGAATATATCCTCTAATACATCTAAAGGTAAAGGATGAGGGTTAAACACGATAAACAGTCTTTCTTTCACAGAAGTTTCAGGAGGGGCTTTTTTTTTGCATGACGGAAGTACAACATCTGTCTGGATTTGAGGCAACTGTGATCCAGAACTTCCTCCAAATTGCTGCTGAAGAAGGTGGGTACAAAACGAGAAAAAGAAAAACTACACTTTAGGGATCTTAAGTCAAGTGCTAAAGAGATGAGTATCATGGCACCTATGTGGTCTTTTATATAGCTCTGAAAATGTTCTTACATAGCTAATAAACCAAGGCCACAGTTATTTTATGCCCTATGGAAGGTTAAATTCTTACCTACTTACCAGAAATTGCTGCTGACTTGGGTTATTCCACACCATTGATGCAAGCTGTGCAGCTACCATCTGCGTTGCCATTTTTCTAAGGAGACTGAAGATAACAACTGATAATTTATAGAAAACTAGAAATACTGTCTCTTAATAGTAACTTGTTTTGTATGACCTCCTCACTTGAGATATTGTTTTATATTTTTATTTTTCAAATCATAATCACATATACCCAAAGCTTGGCTTTAGACATTCCTGGAATGGTACTTACTCTGTGGCATTATTCCCATCATCAATGAAAGAAACACCTATCCGATTTCCAGGAGGGTACTGAAATCCATGTAACTTGTATTTTGCATAAATAGCTGATGCTACATTGAAATACTGAACCACTCCATGACCTAAAACAAAGGTAGATAATATAGAGGAGTTAAAGAGAAAAAAGACTGAATACTTTTGTGGTATTGCCACAAAAATGAAACAATGTAGAAATACCCTAATATCATACAGACAGTAAATACAGAATCAAGTGTGTCAGAAAACAAAGTTCGCTCACAAACCTGTGTAATAGTTGTGTTCCTACAAAGCAAAGTATAAGCCAGATTTTGGTAAAAATATGAACATGATATTTTAAGGATAATACCTCCTTTTAAATGCCTCCCTTAAAAAAAGCCTTTCCAAGTCAAAAGGCTTTAAAAATACAAGATGGATTAAGCTAACACTAGATAATAGGCTTACTCAATTAATTAGTTAAAAGTTCAAATGGCTGATATTACAGCCTTGCTTCTATTAAGAGTGGGAAGTATAAAGTAGGTACTTGAAGTGAAGGAAAGAAGTTTCAATTCAAGGTATAAAGTTTAAGAAAAAGAGATGTAGGGCTGAGGAGGATATTTAAGGGTTTATAAATTTGCCTAGCATTAATCAAGAGTATGGAGTGAGGAAGCTCAGAGGGAAGGCGAGGGAGGGCGGGTGGCAAGAAGAAAAAAAAAAAAAGAGTACAGAGAGAGACCCTATCTTGAGGTGTTTTTGTTTTACAACCAGAAATACAAAATGCTCTATTTTGTGGGAGTTAAAATATTAAAAAAAAAAATACTTAGTAGAAAGAAGGCATATTCCCAGGGGTTTATTTATTAAGGAATCACTGTATTTAAAGTTTAAAGCAGATAAAAAGAAAAATTGTCACACAAACAGTATCTAACATATGAAGTCTCATTGGAGAAAAGCCATTTTAACAAAATACACACTAAAAAATAATGTAGACATTATTTTACCATAGCTTGAATAAGGATCTCGTTGAACTTCACAATATTCCAATCCTGGTACTATATCAAAAATGCTGAAAAGCTGCTCTTCAGTGAAAGGAACTCTTGATACAACTGACAGGCGTTTGGAGATAGCTTCTTGGCCTCTGTTGTCATTCTTGTCAAAATTTGAAAATTCAGGTTGTTGCTCTCCAATAATATAGAAAAAAGTAAATCTTTAAATTTCTATACATTCAAGAATTCATTTAACACTTTAGGTACTAGAAAAGAAAATGAACTTTCACTGTGTCCATTCCACTGAACAAAGGCACTGTATTTTGTAGAATGCTCTTGGTAATCAGTACCAACAAAAGGAACCAATGACAAGAAAACTGAAAACTTCTGCCCACTGCCCCGCCTTCCACACAGAAACATAAGCAGAAATGTGTAGTCTAATTTCACAGGATTATGTTTAGTATGCGAAACTGCAAAACATGATGTGTTTCTTCTAAAAGAACATTTGTGCCAAATGACATTCACAGTCTTTACTTTCACCACTCATTTCCCCCTTTTCCTAGCTTCCTATTTTTGTTATTCCTCTCCTTTCTCTAGCTTTAATTTTAAAGCAACAGTGGCTTAGGGACACAATTTTAGGATTCAATACTGAGGAAATATCTGTCTATGTCTTTCATACTTTTTTGGCCAGCTGCGTAGAGATAGCAGCTCACCAAAAAGGTGGTAGTGACAATTTAATGTTGAGAAAATGCATAACTAACCACAGAAAACTATAATAGAAAGTTAAAATAAGTGTTAAATATTAAGGACATGAGAAGTCATGACAAACTAAAAACAAAACAAAAGCACCACTACAGTATGACTTTTATTCACTAAGTGATATATTACAGAGTGCTAATAAAATAATACTTTTAAAAAGTCAGTTGAGATTGTATGTACTACTTCCACGATAAGGTAAAGGTAGCCCACTTACCAAATGGAAACATATTTATTCTAGGTTCATGTCCCAAAGTCTCTTGCCTCATATTACTATAATAATCTTGTTCTGAGGATTCAGATGCTTTATTTTTGGGTTCAGCCAAGATTGCCCTAAAACCTGAAAAGAGAATCCATGAATTTCAAGCTTCATAGCAATTTAACATACCTGTAAATATACTTGATTGCTAGTGATTGACTCAGCTTTATAAATACAGGGTGTCCCCAAAAAAATGTATACACACTTTGAATAATTATTCATTCTAATGGGTTAAATCTGAAAAGAAACATCAATTGAGCTATCAAAAAAAATGTATGTGTATACATTTCTGGAGGATACCCTGTATAATTGTATAAAACAAAATATATGTAATTGCCATCTCCACCAGACCCTACTTCTTTGCTTTTAGGAATATAAAAAAGGTCAAATAAAAAACAGCAAGAATTCCAAATTATGGGTCAATGTAAGACATGAAGGATCAGCAATTCTATGCTATTCTTTCTCATCTCCCCTAACTACAGATGACATCATCATTCACTGTCCCAGGCTCCTCAACATCAAATCCTATAGGCTTCTTAACATTCAACCTGTCATCAAGATTATTCCTTTGAAATACACTAAGATGGTGTTATATTTCACTCTAACTTCCCTGCCTGCTTTTAATTTAGATTCTCTTCAATTAATTACAACAACCCTTCAACTGGTCTCTTTGCCTATGGATCCAGGATTTTAAATAAGGATGCAAGAATGAGCTTCAAAAGGTGGGAAGGTTCCTTCATGAACCTTCTGAAACTTGAAACAAAATGCTTATGCATATGGACATGTTTCAAAGAAGAAGGTTCATAGTTCCCATTGTATTATTCAATGGCTTCAAAAAGGATGAAAGTAGCCGGTTTGAATTCTTTCCCTGGAAATCCATCCTTGATATTGTGGTTAGATCAACTGTACTGAAATAGTTTTTATTTTTCTCCTTTTAAAACAATCTACAAGGCAATCCAAAGTAGCTCTCACCTTCTGTCCCGCCTACTCTCCACCACATGCAAATCCAACTTCCAATGTATTCCCATGTTCATTCAGTGTACTTGTTTTTCACCTGTTAGATTATTTTCAGTATCTTTAAGTTCTCAATAAATGTTTATTAAGGGTTTATTACTATACTAGGTACTTGGGATGACAGAAATAGACAAATAAGACATACACTTTGCTTTCAAAGAGCTTTTAAAAATTCTTTTATTCTTTATATTTTGCCCTTTAGATCTTGGCTATGCAATATAGCTATAAATTCCTTAAATGACAAGATTATTTTATATTTAATTTGTAAGCCTCTTCTTAACCTATTGATGAGTATACCATAGGTATTCAATTAACGCTGAGTGAGAAATTTAGAAAGGTCTGAGAGCAAATTTTGGTGTGTACCTTAGGGTTACCTAATTAACAATAATTATTTGCAGTATGTATAAATTTTTATATCCTGAAACACACTAATTTAATTATTGCATATCGCATTTCTAAAGGTCAATATATCTAGAAGTATCACAAGGAAAATTCTCCTTGGCTGCTGCTGCTTTTTTTTTTTTTATTAATCCTCACCTGAGGATTTTTTCTATTGTTCTCAGAGTGGATGGGAGGGAGGGAGAGAGAGAGAGAGAAAAACATCAATGTTAGAGAGACATATTGATTGGTTACCTCCCACAAGCGCCAGGACCTGGGTGGGGAATGAACCTGCAACCCAGGTACGTGCCCTTAACCTGAAATCGAACCTGTGACCTTTCAGTACCCCGGCTGATGCTCTAACTGAGCAACACCAGTCAAGGCTCTTCTTTATAATTCTTATTCTCCATGATGTGTACCAGGCAACAGCAGATCTAATCAATGTCACTCTAGCTTGAAATTAACTCAATGTATATTTACTTACCTATATTAGCAAACTTATAAATGCTATCCTTACCCTAGGTGTGTTAGTATACTAAATTCTATTTAGAGTTTAGGTCAAATATGAATAAATATTAAAACTTATTGAGTTTATTTTAATATGAATATTTTTAAAAAACACCTGAAAGGGTAGATCAATTTCTTAAATACTTAATATTGTAAAATATGCACTTTAAAAAAACCACAGAAAAACAATCCAGCCCTAGCCAGTTTGGCTCAGTGGATAGAGCATCGGCCTGCGGACTGAAGGGTCCCAGGTTTGATTCTGGCCAATGGCACATGCCTGGGTTGCGGGTTCGATCCACAGTCAGGGGCGTGCAGGAGGCAGCCAATCATTCTCTCTCATCATTGATGTTTCTATCTCTCTCTCCCTCTTCCTTCTGAAATCAATAAAGAAATATATTAAAAACGAAAAAACAACAAAAAAAACCAATCCAAACCTATAGAAATAATAACCAAAATATGGCAACAACATTTTCACTAATATAGTTGCTATTTCTTTTCAAGATGGTGCCTCAATGAAAGCTTAATCATAGAGCCCAAAATAATTTTCATCTGAGGGCTATATATATTTAAACTCCCAATGCTAAGATTAAATTAGTAGATATGATTATTAACAAAAACCAGTATTAGATTCAGTTATTGAGAATAATTGTAATTTTAAAAAAGTTTTTAACAATGTTAAATAAACACATACTTACTTCGATCACAGTTTTCTATTGCTTGGGCAGCTTGTGATGGTTTTAAGTATCGAACATAGCCCAAACCTTTACTTTCCCCAGTCATTTTATTCTTAATAATGCTGCAATACTCGATATCTCCATACACCTATGAGAGTTAAAAAAAAAAAAAAAGAGATCTTAGAAGAGTCAAAATTAATAACTGAACAGGGATTATCTCAGAACTATTTTAAAATTTATTTATACCTCTTATTTGCCAAAAAAGAAATTAGAGTTAGAATTTAAAGTCATTTTTAATAATGTACTTACAATGCCACAAACTAATGAAGCACTAGAAAAATAACCATAATAATGATATAACCAAATAATAACCAAAATAATGAAAATGTTTATTTAGTGAGCATTTGCTTTATATATAATATCTTATTGTTACAACAGTCCTTCAAGGATATATATAGGATGTCCCCTAAATGTATACACACACTTTGAATAATTATAAAAGCAGTATCTATTAAAATACATTTGATTTTCAAACTGAGCCATCAGCTGTTAAAATGTGTATATATTTTGGGGGGGTCACCCTATATATTTATTTTACTGCTTATTTCACAGAAAAGGAAGCTGGGCCTTAGAGAAATCAAATAACTTGCCCAAGTTATAAAGGGAGAGTAAGAATTTGAACAGTCTGAGAGCTGCAAAGTCTTGCTCATTAGTGGTTGAGAGCAGAGGCTCTGGAATCGAACCTTCTGGTTCAATGCTGGCCCAGCCACTTATTAACAAGTGGTTTAGTTATCTTCTCTGTGGCTGTCTCCGTACCTGTTAATCGGTGCTAACAGCTCTACCGACCTCACAGAGTTAATTTAAAGGTTATGTGAACTAATACACCAAGATGCTCATATGTATTTTCCAGTTTTCATATAGTCTATAATTTTTAAAGTTACTTTATTCTAGGTTTAATACTTAAAAAACAGATTGAAAAAGATAGCTTAAAAATAGTTATTTAATTCCCCACCACCAATCTAATGATCTAACTCACATCACACTTTAGATTTAGTAACCGTGCAACCAATTTAGGATTATGAATTATCAAATGCTAGACGATTAGAAAATCTAAGTACCTTAAATTTTTCCCGTAGATCTTCTTCTGTGTAGGACTTTGGTATCATAACAAATATTCTTGTAAGTTCTTCATCTTCTACATCTCGGTGATTTCCAGATGATCTGGACTGAGCAATTAAAACCTAAGAAACAAATAAATTCCACAAAACAATGTGAAAATAATCAGTTGTTTTCCTATTCTCATTTTAAAAAATATTTTTATTGATTTCAGAGAGGAAGGGAAAGAAACATCAATGATGAGAATCATTGATTGGCTGCCTCCTACACACCCCCTACTGGGGATTGAGCCCACAACCCAGGCATGTGCCCTTTCTGGAATCGAACCTGGGACCTCTGGAGGCCGACACTGTTCACTGAGCCAAATCAGCTAGGGCCTTATTCCTTAAATATACTTAATTCATTATTAGTATGAAGTTCATGGTAGGTTAATGTAATAAGGTCAAATGAAAAAATTTTAAGCAATCTTTATTGCAATGACTTAAAAAAAATCCTCACCCAAGGATATGTTTGATTTTAGAGAGAGAAAGGGAGAAACATCTATTGGTTGTTCCCATATGCACCCAGACTGGAGATCGAACCGGAAACCTTTTTGATGTATGGGAAGATGCTCTAACCAACTGAGGCACCTGGCTGGGCTGCAGTGACTTCCTATATGAGCTACTAAAGGCCTGTGGCACGAAATTCGCCCGCCCTCCCGGGGGGATTCCTCAGCCTGGCCTGCGCCCTCTTGCAGTCCAAGAGCCCTTGGGGAGCCGGCCTAAGCCGTCAGTTGGACATCCTTAGTGCTACCACGGAGGCAAGAGAGGCTCCTGCCACTGCCGCTGTGCTTGCCAGCCATGAGCCCTGCTTCTGGCTACGTGGTGCTCCCCCTGTGGGAATGCACTGGCCCCCAGGGGACAGCTCCTGTGTTGAGCGTCTGCCCCCTGGTGGCCAGTGCGTGTCACAGCGACTGGTCATTCCGCCATTCAGTCTATTTGTTTATTAGCCTTTTATTATATAGGATTACCAATCTCTGCACTATTTTTTCCAAACGTATTTTTATGTCTGGATTCTGGTTTACCAAAAATAGTGAATGCACTGAAAAAGAATGTGTACTCTGCAGTTATTGGGTAGTGTTCACTAAATGCCAATTTATAGTTAACTAGAGGCCCGGTGAACTAAATTTGTGCATTTGGGGGAGGTGGGGAGTCTCTCATCCCAGATTGCGAGCAGATGCAGGCCAGGCCGAGGGACCCCACCAGTGCATGATTGGGGCCAGGGAGGGATGCAGGAGATTGGCCAGCCGGGGAGGGACCGTGGGAGGACTCCAGGGAGTGTCCAGCCCATCTCGCTCAGTCCCGATCAGCCGAACCCCAGCAGCAAGCTAACCTACCGTCAGAGCATCTGCTCCCTGGTGGTCAGTGCATGTCATAGCGAGCGGCTGAGTGGCCTTAGCATATCATTAGTATATTACGCTTTGATTGGTTGAATGGCCGACCAGACACTTAGTGTATCAGGCTTTTATTATATAGGTTAGTGTTATTAAAATGTTACATATCTACTGATTTTGTCTACTAGTTCCATCAGATACTGAGAGGAATGTATAAAAATCTGATTGTGAATTTGTCTCCTTAGTTCCATCAATAATGTATAATGTATTTTGAAACTCTATTAATGGCTACATAAACAATATGGATTGTTATGTACGTTTTGACTGATATTTTTTGTATCTGTTAATACTCCTCTCCTGTTCAAGACAATTTTGTCTGATACCACACCAGCTGTTTCTATTCTTTTATTTTCAACCACTTTGTATTTTTTTATACCCAAAGTGTCTCTTGTAAATAGCATTTAGTTCATTCTTTTTTTAAAATCCTGACAATTTACTTTTTTTTAAAAGATTTTTTTCTTGATATTTAAGCAAGAAAAACACTGATCGACTGCCTTCTGCATCCCACTACTGGGAATCCAGCCCACAACCAGGGCATGTGCCCTAATGGGAAACTGACCTGGCAACCTTTTCATGGTAAGACCTAGTGCATGGGAAGACGCCCAACCAATTGAGCCACACCAGCCAAAGTGACAATCTCTGCCTTTTCATTGGAATGTTTAGTATATCTGTTTAATGTAATATTTGACATAGTTGGCTTTAATTCTAGATGGTCATATTCTTAATTTTTTTCTATCATCAATCTTCTTTAAAAAAAAAGATAGCTCTGGCCAGGTGGCTCAATTAGCTGGAGCAACATCCAGTACACCAAAAGGTTGTGGGTTCGATTCCTGGTCAGGGCACATATCTAGGTTTTTTAATCCTTGGGTGAGGATTTAAAAAAAAAAATATATATTACCATACTCTGGATCATCTCAGTGACAATGCAAATGATGTACTGAGTAAGAAAATATACAGAATGATTTGAGGCTCCATTTCTCTACTATTGATAATTTAGTTTTATTGAAACATCATCTATGGCATTAGATTATTACTTGGAATTTAATTTTATATTGCTCTAATTTGTAAAATTGTCTTGGTTTTATATCAGGGGTGGGGAACATGCAGCCCACAGGTCGTATAAGGCATGCGAAATCATTTGGTCTGGCCCTGCCAAGGCATTAGGGATAAGTTAATTAAATGTTTGACCAAATAGGGCAGGCTAATTTTTAAGTTGATAATTTTGTATGGCTCGGGAATGATGTTATAAATATGAAAAAAAAAAAAGCTCCCCACCCGTTTTATATTATTCCAGAGTAATATTAAAATCTCTAAATAGGATTGTGGATTTGTATATAGAACTATATACAAAAATTTTAATAGCTAGTTTTATTTTTATAACTTGAGGAAAAGTAATAAAATTAATATAAATTGCTACACAAATGCTTTTTTCTTCTTTTAAAGGGGGGGGGGCTCTATGTCATTTAAGAATGACAAAATCTGGACCTATGGTATTATAGAGTAAGAGGCAGCAAGTAAAAAACTCAGAGTTTATAAAGCCATGAGATTTTAGGAATATTGAAAAAGAAGGTTGTGCATGGCCCATGGACAGATAATGGGTAAGTGAGGGCCTGGGGTGGGGAGTGAGGGATGGGGGTGGGCTGGAGGGGGTCAAAGGGGGGGAAAAGGGGGACATAGGTAATACTTTCAACAATAAAGGATTATCTTTTTAAAAAGGTTGTTATGTTTGCTTGGAAAACAGCTGTCACAGAGATGTGGAACTTGCTTACAAGACACAGATATCTATATATCTATATATCTATATATCCCCAGGTAGAGTCTACTTCCAGTTTATCTCCACTGTATGTCCACTATATTATGAAATATTATTAACACTGACTAATGGGGAAATGGCCCTCTATAAAGTTAGTCTAGTGGACAATAGGGAACCTTTAAGTATATGGGAGGATACCAGGGGGGGAAAAGGAGTCTCAGGTAGTAAGATTTGAGATGGAAGTGCCATCAGATCACAAATTTCTAAATATTAGCAGACTGGAATGTTTCATATATCTGATAAAGGAGACAGTATGTAAGTAGACAACATGTATCATTAATCTCCTAATGGATGACTCCTGAGATTTTATGTTCACAGACTATGGGCTCTAAGAGACATTCTTGCAAAGCTAAAAACCAATTATTTTTCTCTTGTATTTCCTAGGTTTACTGTTTTCCTTTAGATAATGTAGCTGGTAACAAAATGACTTTTACTTGGACATCTACTGGCTGTAGGCCTGGTGCTGTAATTTTGTAATTTGTCTTGTAGGTAGATCCTTTGGAATTTTGCAAAAGCAAAGTACATGAAAAAAATTAAAGCTGAATTAATTTAACTGGGAATACTGAAAAAAAAAAAAAAATTACATTCCCGTGGAAGATAGCTCCAACTGCAGCTGCTGAAGGATGAACTTAAGACTGTCTAGCTGGGCACTGCAGTGAAACAACCCTCTGGCTGAAAATGAGTGAACAAAAATGTGAAAAACAGAATTTAAACTTTGGGAGTAATTTAATTTCTCTGTGGCTAAAAGGGAAGGCGCATTTCAGTGTTGGGAATTTTACTTCTCTTATAGTAATTTAATGACGGAAAGGAGATCTATGGGTTTCAAATTTGGAGCATGTTTTCAGTTATAATCTCTGGTTATGTTACTCAAAAGTATAAAAACCCTCTTCCCCAAGATCATAATTGGAAGGAGATAAAAATGATCAATCTAGCCGAAACCGGTTTGGCTCAGTGGATGGAGCGTCGGCCTGCGGACTGAAGGGTCCCAGGTTCGATTCCGGTCGGGGGCGTGTGCCTGGGTTGCGGGCATATCCCCAGTGGGGGATGTGCAGGAGGCGGCTGATCGATGTTTCTTTCTCATCGATGTTTCTAACTCTCTGTCTCTCTCCCTTCCTCTCTGTAAAAAATCAATTATAAAAAAAAAAAAGATCAATCTAATGCAGGAGTCAACAAACTACAGCCTTGTGTTTCTACAGCCTAGAACCTAAGCGTTGTTTTTATATTTTTAAAGGGTCGTTGAAAATAGAGTATTTGACAGACTGTATGTGGCTCACAAGGCCTAAATATTTACTATCTGAACCTTTAGAAAACAAGTTTGCAAACCCCCGATCTAGAATATGCTATGGCCTTACAATTAGTTTTGTTGATGATCTGTTGTCACCCATGTCAAAGGGTTGGAGGGGTGGGAGTGTCTACTGTTGTTGGTGCAGTCCCAGGCACCTCCTCTTTTGCATAAGGGGGTAAAGAAAAGGCCTCCAGAAATGGAAATATCTGTTGCATTTATGTAAGTCCATATTTGTAATATTCTTCTCATTTTCTGTAGTAAATGGAAAAAACTTTGAGAAAGCAGAATTCTGTGGAAAGCTACCTAGTTCTGCAGGACAGGTGAAGGGTACACTGTAAAGCAACTGCTAGATTCTCCATTCACAGCAAGTAAGGAATGACATCTCGGCAACAAGGATATAGGAGGGCTTACCTTGTACCAGGCACCGTGCTAAAAGCAGAGCCTGTCATATAACCCTCAAAACTACCTTTCCTGCCATGTGTCATTTACCTTAATTTTACAGACAAGTGAAGAAACTTAATATAAATACCCCCAGGGTGAACTAAGTACACAAAGCATCACGTAATACAACTACACTACCATCCATCACAGTGATTCGGCTCTTCTTAAGGCAGTTCACTTGGGTTTGCTTTCCAAGAAAAGCGGCAGTAACAGAACACAGGCTATTCATACCTTCACCGATAGGGCTTATTTAAAATGGTTTTGAAAATCACAAAAGGGATAAATATGTAATATGAGCCATTTTAATCACCTGCACTTAAACATTATATACATTTGTCAGGCAGTGGGAAAATGCCCAACACCAGAGAGCCACAGTTGAATGCACTCTTATCAAGTTGTTAAAGCCCCTACCTAACTGTGGAAAAGCAGAGTCATCTTGTTTATAATGGTCAACTGGGGGGAGGGGGGGGATTGTTCTGAGAGAGGAGGGTCAGAGGAGCCCTCGAAGTACGCCAGGGCCAGAGCTGGGCCAGGAATCCCGAGGTCCAGATTGGGGGCCGTGGGCGTGGGGGGTGAGGGGGGCGTGGCCGGACCCGCACCTCCCCCCCATCCCTGGATCCTTGCACCCCGACGCAGGCGCGCGAGCGGTCCTGAAAATCCCTCTTCCCAAGGCCGTCCTCCCCGCTCCTCGTCCCCAGAGTGCCAGGTGCCCCCTAGTCCGCTCCCGGGAGCAGACAGGCTCCCACTGCCCGACCCCGACCCAGCTGCGGGGGAAGGGAGGCCCGAGACCCATCCCCACCCCCGAACACCGTCCCCGCGAGTATCCCGACGCGGGCACCCGCACCTTGATGGGCTTGGTATCATAGGGGCCGAGGCACCGGCCGTGCATCTCCTCCATGGCCCTACAGGCCTGCGAGCTGCGTGCGAACTTGATGAAGGCGATGCCCTTTGACTCCTTCGTGTGCTTGTCCCGCACCACCCAGATATCCTGGATCTCGCCGAAGGGGGAGAAGCGCTCCCGCAGGACCGACTCGGGCGTGTACTTGCTGATCACCAGGAAGATGCGGCTGTTGGGCGGCTCGTCCAGGCTGTCCACGCCCGGGCGGAAGCCTCCCCCGCTCGCACAGCTGCCTGCTTCGTCCATGGTGCCCCACCGGACGCGGGAGCCAGGCCCGGTCGCCTTCGCCGCTCCTGGCTTCCGCCGGGCCCGCCACCGCCTCCGTCGCACACCTGGCCGTTGCGGATCCGGCGCTCCGCTTCCGGAAGTCGTAAGAGTCTGGCGCTGTCCCGCCGGCTTCTGGCGAGTGGCCTGCAGCGCCCCCTGGCGACCCGGAGGAGCCTGACTCAGTCCTGGGCTTGAATCCAGTGGAGCCGAAGTCCAAACATCAGGTGTGCAAACCTGTATCCTTGTTGCCAGAACAGCGTCGTCTGTCGCACGGGCTTTTCCAACTCTGGCTTTACACCACCCTCAGAGGATTCTTTCCCCAAACTTGCCATCTTGGTCATCAGCTCAAAAGAGAACCATAGAATTAACATGGAAAAACCTTAACGCTGAAAGGAACCTTTGAGCTCATCCAATTCCAGCCTCATTTATTGAGAAAATTGGGATGAGGAAACTGAGGCTCGTGGAATAGCCCATGGTAACAGAGATCCATGTAACAGAGCCCAAACCGGAACCGATGCCTCTGCTAATCTGCTCAACTCCCACAAGCACCGCTGGGCGTTTGAGAGCAGAAAGGGTAGACTATTCAACTGTGAATCTAGGAGAAATGGTAAGGTGTAGGCAACATGCATAATAACTTCTAAGGATTCGTGTTAATGGGCCTCGAGGAGAGGTTTTCAGAAAACTAGCGAAAACCTAGAAACCAGGCCTGGATATAGCATTGGCAGTGGAATGAAGGGAAAGAAATAAACCAGAAAGTGGTCCTGGAGCCGAGCTCTTTGATTGGTCCTTGGCTGCTAAGATCTGGGTTGCTATGATCTTAGAGAAATATTGTGTGCCAAGTATGTTCCAGGCTCTGGTCAAGGAGCTAGACATACAATCTGGAATGGCAAGGACATGATTCCTGCCCTCAGAGAACTTTTATTCTATTATGGAAATCTTACATGAAAATATATAATACAAAGTAATGTCAGATTGTGTTCAACGGTTTTGCCTGAACTGTGTGAGCTGGGACAAGTTACCTCACATTTCCAACTTCAGTTTTTTAAATTGTAAAGTAGAAATAATATTACCTATTAAATGGTAATAGGAAACTGAGGCTCGTGGAATAGCCCATGGTAACAGAGATACAGGTAACAGAGCCCTGGGGTAGTTTTCCGGCTTAATTAATTCATTCATCCATTCATCTAAAACAAATGTTTTTGATTGTTTGCAAATGTTTTTGATGTGTTAGGTACTGAGCTATACTGAAGTGATATAGTATTAAACAAAATGGTGACTCTGCTTCCCTCATGAAGTTATGCTCTTGAAGAAAGGACAGTATATGAACAGTATTAAATAAAAGTTAGGAGCTCATGAAGTTAATAGTTTAAGCTTACATAGTTAGGAGTATATGAGAAAATATATATGAAACTAATAGCTTAGAGATCAAATGAGATAATATATGTACAATGGCACAATGGAGATTTATTTTCTTGCTCTCTTTGACTATGGCGCTCGCTCCCCAACTCTGGATATTGTATAATTGTGTGATAACAACTAACAGTCAGGCATTCTGGGTTCTCCCCCTGAATTTAGCACAAGATTCTGACAGTTTCTCCTTGCATTTCATTCCACATTTTTATTTTTTATTTTATTTTTTTAATTAAATCTTTATTGTTCAGATTATTACATTTGTTCCTCTTTTTTTCCCCCATAACTCCCCTCCTTTCAGTTCCCACCCCACCCTCCGCACTCACTCCCCACCCACTGTCCTCATCCATAGGTGCACGTTTTTGTCCAGTCTCTTCCCACATCCCCCACACCCCTTTCCCCCCCAAGAATAGTCAGTCCATTCCCTTTCTATGTCCCTGATTCTATTATAATCACCAGTTTATTCTGTTCATCAGATGATTTATTCACTTGATTCTTAGATTCACTTGTTGATAGGTGCATATTTGTTGTTCATAATTTGTATCTTTACCTTTTTCTTCTTCTTCCTCTTCTTAAAGGATACCTTTCAGCATTTCATATAATCCTGGTTTGGTGGTGATGAACTCCTTTAGCTTTTCCTTATCTGTGAAGCTCTTTATCTGACCTTCAATTCTGAATGATACCTTTGCTAGATAAAGTAATCTTGGTTGTAGGTTCTTGGCATTCATCACTTTGAATATTTCTTGCCACTCCCTTCTGGACTGCAAAGTTTCTGTTGAGAAATCAGCTGACAGTCGCATGGGTACTCCCTTGTAAGTAACTGAGTTTCTTTCTCTTGCTGCTTTTAAGATTCTCTCTTTGTCTTTTGCTCTTGGCATTTTAATTATGATGTGTCTTGGTGTGGTCCTCTTTGGATTCCTTTTGTTTGGGGTTCTCTGCGCTTCCTGGAGTTATAAGTCTATTTCTTTCACCAGGAAGGGGAAGTTTTCTGTCATTATTTCTTCAAATAGGTTTTCAATATCTTGCTCTCTCTCATCTTCTGGCACCTCTATAATTCTGATGTTGGTACGCTTGAAGCTGTCCGATAGGCTCCTTACACTATCTTCATATTTTCGGATTCTTTTTTTCATTTTGCTTTTCCAGTTGGGTGTTTTCTGCTTCTTCGCATTTCAAATCTTTGACTTGATTCTTGCGCTCCTCTGGTCTGCTGTTGGGAGTCTGTATAATATTCTTTATTTCAGTCAGTGTATGCTTAATTTCTAGTTGGTTCTTTATCATAGCATCGAGGGTCTCATTAGATTTCTTGTAAATCTCAATAACTTTATCGGCGGCTTCTAGACAGTTCTTGAGAGACCTTAAAAGTTGGTTCTGAACTCAATATCCTCCCTTGATAGTTTTGTCCTGTTTCTTTGTCTCCGCATTTTTTTTTGCTTTCTTGGTGCACCCCCTAGTGGTCTTTGTGTGCAGTCTTGTTGTAGTTAAGTCTTGATTGTTGTAGTTAATACTAGACGGATTTGACCTCCAGGCCGACTGGCTGTGAGAATCAGCTGTGTCTGCAGTGGGAAAACTTCTGTCCTCTGGAGAGGTGCTAATCTAGCTTTTGCCTGAGGCTATCCGGCAAATGGCTCTGTGCAGGGCTTGGGCGGGGCGGGTTGCATGAGATCAACAGGGCGGGCAGAGGGAGCAGTTATGGCTGCTCTCAGTCCCGTCCCCAGAGGCTCTGCTTCTCAGAGTCCCAGCAACCGATGCAAACCTCGGAGAGAAAGCTGCCCTCACATTCCGACTGAAGCCAGACAGTCCCGCTTCTCCCGTTTGAGTCTGGGTCCCTAAAGACTCGCCCGGATCTGGAGCTCAGAGCCTGAGACTCCCTCCCGATTGACAACCACGCCCTCAGCCACCAGCCCGCTCCACGTGCACCTCAGTACCTTTGTATTTTCCACACTGCGCCTCCTCTGAGCCTCGGTATGCTGTTCTCTTTCCTTCTAGTTGAAGAATCTCTCCTCAGCCAGCCTTCCTGTGGTTCTGGGTGATGTCCGTTCCGTCTTTTAGTTGTATTTTTGAAGTTGTTGTTCGGGGCAGCAAACTCCGGTGTTTACCTATGCCGCCATCTTGGTTTTTTTCCATTCCACATTTTTAAAAGGGGGGCTCCATTTACACTGGAGCTTAGCAAGTCAAGGAGGTATTTTTTAAAAATTTATTTATTCTTTATTGATTAAAGTATTACATATGTATCCTTTCCCCCCCAAGTCAAGGACGTATTTTATCTTAACCTTCCACTTCTTTTTATCTTATCCAGACCAAGCAAAGCGAATAAAAACAATGTGGTAATGTAACAATTTTACTAATGTGAGAAGTGTAAAGAGTCTAGCAATACTATTTGCACACCAGTGCCATCTGGTGGAAACTATATAATTTTCTTCAACCACTTACTGGACAATTTCTGCTCTGTAAAACATTTGTTGGTATCCTGAAAATATAGGGCTGATATTCAGAGAAGTTACTTTTTTCTTTCTTAAAGAAATGATTAAAGATTGCATAAAGCAAAACCAGGAACAGATATATTTGGAAATGCTAAGAATGCAAAATTTCTTTGCCACTCAATCATGTGAAATATTGCATAGTCAACGAAAATAAGAAGTGTACTTATAAATTACTAAAATACAGTAAATATTTTCTTCATTGGAATCAATTTATTTTAAATACAGGTCTATTGGCTGTAATTCATATGTCATACAATTCACCCACTTAAATAGTTTTTAATGTGTTCACAACCATTACCACAATCAATTTTAGAACGTTTCCATCACTCAGTAATGACAGTTATGTTTCAAAGAATATCAAATCATATTTGAACATGATTTACATGTAATTAAAACAGATGAAATTCTGAGGTTTGAAAGAATGATTATTAATTCGTCTAATATTAGAGAAAAAATGTGCTGGATAATTGCAGGTTAAATTGTTTCAAGTCTTTAAAACATGTAGCATATAATTCACAATTATTAGAATGATAAACACATATTTATTTCACATGAAATTCAGATTTCCCTTGAAAATTTTCTTGCAAAACTTTATTGATTTTTTAAAGAAAATAAGAGGTAATATTGAAATGAGAGGTGACTTATTATAGTAAATTCTTGTCATTGTTTTTCAGATTTTCTTGAATTATGATGTAATTGCAATGAAGCTTACTGGTTGTCAATATTCGTCTTCATATATTTAATTAAGTAAAACTGTTTTTGCCTTATTTGCCAGTATTTAGTAGATTTTGCCACTGATATTTATTGGTGGTGAATTAGAAACTTTCATATAGTCCAAAGTTTTCATTTTCCATCTGTAAGGCTAAAGCCTACTGGTAATATATGCAAGCACCTACCCTGGCCTATGGTCAGCACTTAGAAAATGGTAGTTTCTGTTTTCTTGAGTTTGCATGTCTTCACTTGAGTTTGCGAATATTTAACTTTTGAATTTTTTCCCTCCAGTAGACCTGGTCCTTTAGAATCAATTTGAAGACATCTTTTAAATATGTAGATCACAGGACAAAACTCACACTTTAGAAGTTTCATTAAATCTTTGGCTATTGTGGTTATTTCAATTACATTTAAAGTAATTAAGGTTAACTATAATTAAAATAATTAAAAATTCCGTTAGTCACATTAACCACATTTTAAGTGCTCAAAAGC